GCAGCAGATGACTCCACAGGGGGGTCTGGGCGGGTGCCGGACAGGGTGCCGCAGAAGTCGTTTTAAGCCAACAGTCACACACTTCGTGCTCTTCGACCTCCCAGAACTCCATTCCCGGGCCACATTCTGAATGCCCGGAGCCAACTGTAGGCCACTTCGTGCTCTTCGACTTCCCAGAACTCCATTCCCGGGCCACATTTTGAATGCCCGGAGCCAACTGTAGGCCACTTCGTGGTCTTCGAGTCCCCAGAACTCCATTCCCGGGCCACATTTTGAATGCCCGGAGCCAACTGTAGGCCACTTCGTGCTCTTCGAGTTCTCAAAACTCCATTCCCGGGCCACATTTTGGATGCCCGGAGCCAACTGTAGGCCACTTCGTGTACTTCGAGTTCCCAGAACTCCATTCCCGGGCCACATTTTGAATGCCCGTAGCCAACTGAGGCTGAGGCAGGCTGCTGCTGAGGCAGGCTGAGGCTGAGGCTGAGGCAGGCTGAGGCTGAGGCAGGCTGAGGCTGAGGCTGAGGTTGAGGCTGAGGCTGAGGCTGAGGCAGGCTGAGGCAGACGCTGAGGCAGGCTGATGCTGAGGCAGGCTGAGGCTGAGGCTGAGGCCGATGCAGGCTGAGGCTGAGGCTAAGGTTGAGGCTGAAGGCAGACTGAGGCTGAGGCTGAAGCAGGCTGAGGCTGAGGCTGAGGCAGGCTGAGGCTGAGGCTTAGGCAAGCTGATACTGAGGCAGACTGAGGCTGAGGCAGGCTGAGGCTGAGGCAGGCTGAGGCTGAGGCAGGCTGAGGCTGAGGCTGAGGCTGAGGCTGAGGCTGAGGCTGAGGCTGAGGCTGAGGCTGAGGCTGATGCAGGCTGAGGCTGAGGCAGGCTGAGGCGGAGGCTGAGGCTGAAGGCAGGCTGAGGCTGAGGCTGAAGCAGGCTGAGGCTGAGGCTGAGGCAGGCTGAGGCTGAGGCTGAGGCAGGCTGAGGCTGAGGCAGGCTGAGGCTGAGGCTGAGGCTGCTGAGGGGGGGGGGGGGCGGGGCCAAGGGGGCTGAGGCTTAGGCAAGCTGATACTGAGGCAGACTGAGGCTGAGGCAGGCTGAGGCTGAGGCAGGCTGAGGCTGAGGCAGGCTGAGGCTGAGGCTGAGGCTGAGGCTGAGGCTGAGGCTGAGGCTGAGGCTGAGGCTGAGGCTGATGCAGGCTGAGGCTGAGGCAGGCTGAGGCGGAGGCTGAGGCTGAAGGCAGGCTGAGGCTGAGGCTGAAGCAGGCTGAGGCTGAGGCTGAGGCAGGCTGAGGCTGAGGCTGAGGCAGGCTGAGGCTGAGGCAGGCTGAGGCTGAGGCTGAGGCTGCTGCAGGCTGAGGCTGAGGCAGGCTGAGGCTGAGGCCGAGGCTGAAGGCAGACTGAGGCTGAGGCTGAAGCAGGCTGAGGCTGAGGCTGAGGCAGGCTGAGGCTGAGGCAGGCTGAGGCTGAGGCTGAGGTATGCTGATACTGAGGCAGGCGGAGGCTTGAGGCTGTGACTGTGACTGCCGTTGCCTCTGGACTACATCGCGAATGCGACCTGCTGACCTGCGGAGAAACAGGAGAAATTCTACAAGGGATTTGCTCATTTGGATTTTAAGGGCGAATGTTTCCATATTACCTGACAGCGAAGGACTGATAGGTTTCGAGTTGACTCAAAAGAGCTAGCCAAGATCAACTCCACAGGGGGGTTGGGCGGGTGCCGGACAAGGACAGGGGCCGAGAAGAAGTCGTTTTAAGCAACAGTCACACACTTCGTTGCTCTACGACTCCCAGAACTCCATTCCCGGGCCACATTCTGAATGCCCGGAGCCAACTGTACACTTCGTGCTCTTCGACCTCCCAGAACTCCATTCCCGGGCCACATTCTGAATGCCCGGAGCCAACTGTACACCACTTCGTGCTCTTCGACTTCCCAGAACTCCATTCCCGGGCCACATTTTGAATGCCCGGAGCCAACTGTAGGCCACTTCGTGGTCTTCGAGTCCCCAGAACTCCATTCCCGGGCCACATTTTGAATGCCCGGAGCCAACTGTAGGCCTCTTCGTGCTCTTCGAGTTCCCAGAACTTCATTCCCGGGCCACATTTTGAATGCCCGGAGCCAACTGTAGGCCACTTCGTGCTCTTCGAGTTCCCAGAACTCCATTCCCGGGCCACATTTTCAGCAGGGGCAGGAGCACGACGAGGAGGAGGCGAGCAAGGACCAGCGGGAGGAGGACGAGCAGGAGGAGGAGGACGAGGGCAGGAGGAGCAGGAGGAACAAGGACGGCAGGAGGAGAGGAGGAGGCGGACGAGAGCAGGAGAGGAGAACGACCAGCGAGGAGAAGGACGACCAGTAAGAGGAGGAGGGAGGAGGGAGGAGGAGGAGGGGAGGGGAGGAACTACCAGGAGGAGCAGGAGTGAGGAGGAGGAGGAGGGAGGAGGAAGAGGTGGTGGAGAGGAGGAGGAGGAGGAGGAGGAGGAGGACGAGGAGGAGGAGGAGGAGGGGGGGGGAGAGCTGCCTTTTCGTGGAGATGCTGTTCGACCCAGAGATGCTCCTACACATGGCTGTTAGGTTGCTTTGCTGGGATAATGTTTTGCCTCGGGGACGCGAATATTGTAATTTGCAAGGGTTTGTCGCCTCGGGGACGTGAATATTACCTAACAGCTTGTTCTGATAGGTTTCTAATGGGGTCAAAAGAGAGCAGCAGATGACTCCACAGGGGGGTCTGGGCGGGTGCCGGACAGGGTGCCGCAGAAGTCGTTTTAAGCCAACAGTCACACACTTCGTGCTCTTCGACCTCCCAGAACTCCATTCCCGGGCCACATTCTGATGCCCGGAGCCAACTGTAGGCCACTTCGTGCTCTTCGACTTCCCAGAACTCCATTCCCGGGCCACATTTTGAATGCCTGGAGCCAACTGTAGGCCACTTCGTGGTCTTCGAGTTCCCAGAACTCCATTCCCGGGCCACATTTTGAATGCCCGGAGCCAACTGTAGGCCACTTCGTGCTCTTCGAGTTCCCAGAACTCCATTCCCGGGCCAGATTTTGGATGCCCGGAGCCAACCGTAGGCCACTTCGTGGTCTTCGAGTTCCCAGAACTCCATTCCCGGGCCAGATTCTGGATGCCCGGAGCCAACTGTAGGCCACTTCGTGGTCTTCGAGTTCCCAGAACTCCATTCCTGGGCACGATTTTGAATGCCCGGAGCCAACTGTAGGCCACTTCGTGTTCTTTGAATTCCCAGAACTCCATTCCCGGGCCACATTTTGAATGTTGAGGCAGGCTGAGGCTGAGGCTGAGGCAGGCTGATGCTGAGGCAGGCTGAGGCTGAGGCTGAGGCTGATGCAGGCTGAGGCTGAGGCAGGCTGAGGCTGACGCCGAGGCTGAAGGCAGACTGAGGCTGAGGCTGAAGCAGGCTGAGGCTGAGGCTGAGGCAGGCTGAGGCTGAGGCAGGCTGAGGCTGAGGCTGAGGCAGGCTGAGGCTGAGGCTGTGTCTGTGACTGCCGTTGCCACTGCGACTGTCATCGCGAATGCGACTACGACTGCGAGAACACCACAATTCTACAACTGGATTCTCATAAGGGGAATGCTTCCAGATATGCTCCTACACATCGCTGTTAGGTTGCTTTGCCGGGATAATTTTACCTAACAGCTTGTTCTGATAGGTTTCTAGTGGGGTCAAAAGAGAGCAGCAGATGACTCCACAGGGGGGTCTGGGCGGGTGCCGGACAGAGTGCCGCAGAAGTCGTTTTAAGCCAACAGTCACACACTTCGTGCTCTTCGACCTCCCAGAACTCCATTCCCGGGCCACATTCTGAATGCCCGGAGCCAACTGTAGGCCACTTCGTGCTCTTCGACTTCCCAGAACTCCATTCCCGGGCCACATTTTGAATGCCCGGAGCCAACTGTAGGCCACTTCGTGGTCTTCGAGTCCCAGAACTCCATTCCCGGGCCACATTTTGAATGCCCGGAGCCAACTGTAGGCCACTTCGTGCTCTTCGAGTTCCCAGAACTCCATTCCCGGGCCACATTTTGAATGCCCGGAGCCAACTGTAGGCCACTTCGTGGTCTTCGAGTTCCCAGAACTCCATTCCCGGGCCACATTTTGAATGCCCGGAGCCAACTGTAGGCCACTTCGTGTCTTCGAGTTCCCAGAACTCCATTCCTGGGCCACATTTTGAATGCCCGGAGCCAACTGTAGGCCACTTCGTGTTCTTCGAGTTCCCAGAACTCCATTCCGGGCCACATTTTGAATGCTGAGGCAGGCTGAGGCTGAGGCTGAGGCTGATGCAGGCAGGCTGAGGCTGAGGCTGAGGCCTGGGCTGACGCCGAGGCTGAAGGCAGACTGAGGCTGAGGCTGAAGCAGGCTGAGGCTGAGGCTGAGGCAGGCTGAGGCTGAGGCAGGCTGAGGCTGAGGCTGAGGCAGGCTGAGGCTGAGGCTGTGTCTGCGACTGCCGTTGCCGCTGCGACTGTCATCGCGAATGCGACTACGACTGCGAGAACAGCACAATTCTACAACTGGATTCTCATCTGAATCTTAAGGGGAATGCTTCCAGATATGCTCCTACACATCGCTGTTAGGTTGCTTTGCCGGGATAATTACATATTGAAAACATGTTTGAAACATGCTTTAGACATCTGGAAATTACTTGGCAACATGCTTCCTCTCCGTTGATCGCCTTCCACAGCACAGTGGGAAGGGCTGGGTGGGAGGGGCAGGACGTCAGATGTGGCGCGAGCGCACCGAGCTTGCCCTATCCCCCCTCCTCCTCCTCCTCCTCCTCCTCTCCTCCTCCTCCTCCCTCCTCCTTCCTCCTCCTCCTACTCCCTCCTCCCTCCTCCTCCTCCTCTCTCCTCCCTCCTCCCTCCTCCTCCTCCATCCTCCCCTCTCCCCCTCCCCCTCCCCTCCTCCTCCTCCCCCTCCTCCTCCTCCTCCTCCTCCTCCTCATCCTCCTCTTCCTCCTCCTCCTCCTCCTCCTCCCCCTCCTCCAACCCTGCACACGTCCTTCCTCGAGGCGAGCCTTGAGCTCGAGGGTGGCGGGGAAGATCGCGGAGATGACTCCCTCCACAACCTCGCCGCGGACGCGCACCGCCAGGGGGGCAGGCGAGAGCGGGCGTGCTCTGAGGGCCGAGGTGCCGAGGGCGCGATGGCGTGGCGCCGGGACCCTGGGAGAGCGCCCGAGGGCCGAGAGAGGCGTCGAGGCTGCGCGAGACGCGTACACCCTGCGAAATGCTTAAGAAATCATGGGTTAAGAAATTCATAGTCTCAGAACTTGAGTAAAAACCCAAAATTTCCACTCAAATCTTAGGATTTACATTGAAACATTAAGAATAACCAAGACTCTGGCCAAAAAAATAGGTTTTCTTAAGCATCGCCTAAGGTGTACCTCTCGGACCTCTCTGGGGCCAACCTTGCGGATGCCACGACGATGGGCACCCTGACGGTCCTATCGTTGAGATTTTAAATGCGCTTAAAAGGTGTAAAACATGTTCTAAGCATGTTTCGACCATGTTTTTGTTTACGTATTTGAAACGTGTTTTAGGCATCTGGGAATTGTTTGGCAGCATGCTTCCTCTCCATTGATCCACGTCCACAAGGCCAACCTTTCGATCAAGCACAAACTGACACGGATTAGGGATCCGTGGATCTGGCGCGTGAGCGCCAGATTCGCGGCCAGTGCCACCCGACTTAGCGACGGGAGACGTAGATGGTTTACGGAAGCGAGGCCCATCGCTAATCCACGCGCCCTAATTCATGCTTGCGCTACCTCGGTTCGACCATCTGGGAGAACTTGCGCAACCGCACCCCAGGGAAGATCGCAACGCCGGCGTCAGCATCCCGTCACGGGAGAGCAAGGGCGAGAGGAACGTAGATTTGCGCTTGAGAGGGGCTGGCTTGGACAGGCAACTGGTCCTGCACGCGACAATGAACACAACGATCATCCTCGTATTCCCGCTCCATCTCCTCTTCCTCCCCCTTCCTCCTCCTCCTCCTCCTCCTCCTCCTCCTCCTCCTCCTCCTCCTCCCCCTCCTCCTCCTCCTCATCCTCTTCGTCCTAAAACATCGTCCCTCCTGCCCCCACTCCTTCATCTTCCTCCTCCCCCATCCTCATACCACTGCTCTTCCTGCATCCTCCTCCCCCTCGCCCCCGCACGGGCGGGATAACGACAGTGGAGGAAGAAGAGAAAGGGAAGGCGGATGGGGAGAAGGGAAGCGGGATGCGGAGGGGGCGACAGAGGAAGAGGATGAGGGAGGAAGAGCGAGACGGAGGCGGAGGAGGATAAGGGAAAATGATGATGATGATGATGATGATGATGATGATAATGATAATGATGATGATGATGATGATGATGATGATGATGATGATGCTGATGATACGGTGATGATGATGATGATGGTGATGGTGATAGTGATGGTGATGACGATGATGCTGATGATGATGATGATGCTGATGCTGATGGTGATGATGACGTGATGATGATGCTGATGACGACGATGCTGATGATGCTGATGATGGCACTGGTGATGGTGATGCTGCGGGTGATGATGATGATGAGTATGACAGTGGTGCTGCTGCTACCGCTTATAATGATGATGCTGAGAATGATGATAATGGTGATGATGATGATGATGATGATGGTGATGATGATGATGATGATGCTGGTGGCGTTGATGATGATGATGATGATGATGATGATGATTAGGATGATGATGCTAATAATTATGCTTATACTGATGTCGATGATATTGATAACGATAAAGGTATAAAGGTAACTAGAAATATAAATATACTGATGATGATGATGACGATGCTGATGATGATGCTGCTGATGCTGCTGCTGATGCTGATGCTGATGGTGCTGCTGTTTATGATGATGATACTGATGATGATGATGATGATGATGATGATGATGATGAGGATGATGATGATGATGATGTGTTTGGGATGTCATCATCATCATCATCATCATCGACGATGATGATGATGATGATGATGATGATGATGATGAGCAGGAGGAGGAGGAGAAGAAGTAAAAAGAACAGCAGGATGCGGAGGAAGAAACGATAATTCGATACCAACTGGTCGTTATATATATGACTGGCTACGGAAAAGAAGAGCGGGGAAGAGGAGGAGGGGAGGGGAGGAGGAGGCGGGCAAGAAGAAGCAGGAGGCAGAGGAGGCGGAAGAGAGGGAGGAGGTGGAGGAGGCAAGGGGGCAGGGAGGAAGGGAGGGAGGGAAGCGCACGGGGAGGGAGATGGGGGAGGGGAGGGCAGGGGAGAGAGAAGGAGAGGCAAGCCAGGTGAGCTCGCGCCATGTCTGACATTCTACCCCTCCCACCCATCCCTTCCCATTGCGCGGAGTCTTCTTTATTCGCGGATGCGTGTCGTAGTGGACCTGAAACTTCCTGGAATACCCACTCGTGTTATGCCCAACCAGAAGAGGGGAGCTGCGTACATATGAGGAGAGGGAAGAAAGGAAGGAGGAGGAGGAGAAGGAGGAGGTGGAGGAGGAGGCGACGGATGAGCAATAGGAAAAGGAGGAGGTTGAGGAACGAGGAGGAGGAGGAGGAGGAGGACGAGGAGGAGAAACGGAAGAAGACACATAATAATAGCAATAAACACGATATTAATAATGATAGTAATACTGAACATACGAACAGCATTAATAATGTTCGTTGTGCGAATGAATAATCGCATTTTGCGAATACTACGATCAATTATACTAATGCTTATGATGACAAGAGGAAAATAAGAATAAACACAAGGACACACAATACTACGGATACGAAGAAAGACTAGGACAAACAGCAGCAGCTGGAACTGGAGTGGAAGGAAGGCAATGGGGAAGGCGGAGGAGGGGAAAGGAGAGGGGAAAGGAGCGGGGGAAAGCCCCGCTCTGGGGCGAAAGCGCCATTCTCGACGACGAGAGCACAGCACCGATTCTAAAATGAGGCAAGGGGAGGGGGGGGAGGGAGGGAGGAGGGGGAGGTGGGGGAGGTGGAGGGAGAAGTGGAGGGACAGCCCCCTGAACCTGGACGGGGGGTTTCGCGAACGGTCACAGCGTCCAAAACGGCCTCGGCGAGAAACCAAAATCACTGGTCTTACTAGGTTGTGGCCACATTTTGGCCTCTTGGGGCAACCGTAATTAAGGAACCCCCTTCTTTGATCGATGCCCTCTAAAATGGCCCCATCAAGCACCCAGGAGGCCCCAAGAGGCCCCAAGTTGGCCCCAAGATGGCCCCACGAGGCCCCCAAGCCCCCAAGAGGACCTCAAGCGGCCCCAAGAGACACCCCCCCGAGGCACCCAAGACGCCCAAGAGACCCCCAGGACCGCCAAGAGACCCCCAATACGTCCCAAGAGGCCACGAAGAAGCGCCCCAGAGGTATCCCAAGAGGCTCCGAGAAGCACCCAAGAGACCTCTGGCTCTTTTGCTTGCCCTCCTTCCTCCTACTTCTCCTTCCTCCTCCTACTCCTTCTCTTCATCCTCGTCCTCCTTCTCCTCCTCCTCCTCCTCCTCATCCTATTCATCCTCCTTCTCCCCATTCCCTCATCCATCCATCCAGCCTCCTCTTTTTTCCTCCTTTCGCACGGTTCGGCCGTCCCCGTCTATGCCCTCGCACTCCCCTGGTCCGCTCGCCTGGACATCGTTTCTGGATGGGCTGGTGGGGATTTGTCAAGGGGCCCTGGGACACACAAATAAATACACACAAATAAAAATATTCCCTATATATTCCTATATTTTCTGGGGTTTTGTCTTCCCCCCCCACTTCCCATAGTTTCCCATATTTTCTGGGGAATCGCCGATTAATTGTGTCTGTGTGTTTCTTCCCCTCTTGAATTTGTTTTATCGCAAAGCGCACCGGGAGGCCGGGCGCCGTCCGAGGCAGCGCAGCCAACGAGCAGCGGCCAGAACTCCGCGGCAGAAGAGGAACAGCAAAAAACGCGGCGGAAGAAGCGAAGGGCGGTGGCGATACTTTTTTTTTTTTACAGCCGCAGGCGAAAGCGCCGACGGCGGGCGGTCACGGTCGGGCTGCGGCCGCGACTAGATTCCCGGGCGCGCGCGGGGGCCGCGGATCAAGCGGCGGGGGGGGGCAGCGACCCAGGGCGTCTGAGAAGCCAGGCGAGCGTGCAATCCAGGGAGTCTGTAGGGAACGCCCAGGACAGAGGTGGTGGCGATACGCGAAACGTCTAGAATTCGAAGGCCCCGTCGCCCCGCCGCCGGCCGCATGCGTCGGCCAGCTCCCGCGTGCTCCTCCTCCTCCTCCTCCTCCTTCTCCTCCTCCTCCTCCTCCTTCGACCTTCATCACAACCACCATCCTCCTCTTCATCCGCAACCTCAGCCTCAGCCTCCTCCTCCTCCTCCTCCTCCTCCTCCTCCTCCTCCTCCGCGCCATCATCACCATCACCATCATCATCGTCACAATCATCAGTGCCACCATGATCATGCTCATCGCCACCATCATCATCGCCCTGGATCAGCACCATCACAATCACCATCCACACCACCATCACCATCGTCATCATCATCATAATCATGATCATCATCAGCAGCAGCAGCATCAGCATCAGCATCAGCATCAGCATCAGCATCAGCATCAGCATCATCATCATCATCCTCATCCTCATCCTCATCCTCATCATCATCATCATCATCATCATCATCATCATCATCATCATCATCATCATCATTAGCATCAACACCATCATCAGCATTATCGTCGCCATCATCATCACCAACATCATCATCATCATCATCATCATCATCATCATCATCATCATCATCATAATCACCAACATCATCATTATCATCATGTTCACCATCATCATCATCAGCACTATCGGCATCATGATTTCCACCCACCGCCACCATCATCATCACCGTCGTCACCATCAGCACTAGCATTGTCATTGCTCTTGGCATTCGCATGACTGTGATTGTCCTCCCCCGGGTATCAAGTTGGGCGCGTTTCACAGCTTCGCACGTCGCGCCGCTGTGCCAAGTGCATTCGGGTGATGGCACGACGTGCGTCACACATAACGCACACGGAAGCTTCAACTGTCAATCGGAA